CAGCGCGCACACTCTGAATATTACCTTGCAGTGAAACACACAGTGAAACACAGCTGTTGGAATTCCTTCTCCTGGGATTCTCAGAAGACCCAGCCCTCCAGCCTCTCATCTTTGGCCTGTTCCTCTCCATGTTCCTGGTCACTGTCAGTGGAACCTGCTCATCATCCTGGCCATCCTCTCTGACCCACACCTCCACACGCCCATGTACTTCTTCCCCGCCAACCTGTCCTTGGTGGACGTCTGCTCCTCCTCCACCACCGTCCCCAAGATGCTGGTGAACATCCCGACGCACAGCAGAGCCATCAGCTATGCAGGCTGCATCACACAGATGTTCTTCAGCTTGCTTTTTAATGGAGTTGGACAGCTGGTTCTTTGACCAGACTGTAACAGCAAACCTTTCTCATTCCATTTCCCTCCCTGCCATGACGTATTTCCACCCCCAACGTAGTTCGCATGCCTGATCCCCTTTCTAAAGCATTCTTACTCTCTGATACCCTGGTCCCTGTTGTGCATCCCCGACTTTATTCTTATCCTTGCATTAAAAATATTCCAAAATTCACCGTTCTCCTGCGGGATGTATATTGGCGTTTTAGTTTAGCATTTACCTTTTCAGATAGCGTGCTTTTTCATGTATACTGCAGTCTCGTACCGAATGAGGGGTCAGCAAAGACCACAGTCTCGCTGGAAAACGAGTGGTAAACTCCTGGGGCGTACTGTGGCACACCAGGTTAAATTTCTGCTTGCGTGGTGGGCACCCCGTATGGGCATTGGTCTGAATTCCAGCGCCGTGCGTTGGAATTCCAACCCAAAGCACAGCTCACTTCCCACCCAGCTCCCTGCTCATCCACCTGGGAAAGCAATGGGAAAGATAACCAAAGTCCTTGAGCCCCTGATTCCACTTGGAAGACCTGGTTGAAGCTTCTAACTCCTGGTTGCAGCCTGGCCCAGCCCTAGCTCCATGAACAGGCGGCTCAGGTGTGCCAGTAAGGCCCTCTGCAGAATTTGATGGAAGGCACTTGAGGCCCCGGCCTTGGTCTTCAGCGTCGTGTCTGTCCCCTCCTTGCCATTCCTGTTAGGGTACACCGGTGCAGCTGCAGGCTCCAAAGCTGGGCACTGGGTTCAGTTCTCATTGAGAACAGAGCGCCCGTTTCAGTTCCAGGGCTCTGCCCATCCTATCCGCTACTCCCCTGGGTGGAGACGTCCACCCAGAGCAGAGGGGGCGGTGGGGGTGTCAGCTGTGGGGCCAGGGGGACCTGGAAAGCTGTCCTGTGTGTTCCCAGGATGGCTCTGTCGTTCGGTCTTCTTTGGCCTGGTGCTTCAGGGTGACCCATCCCTGCCGTCCGTGAGATGTGACTCCCGGCGGACACTGGGACAGCATCTAAATGCCCAAACGAGAGAGACAAAGTCTTCTTTTTTTTTTTCCACAAAATTATTTTCCTATTTTCAAAGGCAGAAACGGATGGTTGACTGTTGTTGATGGACAGGTGGGTGGGCAAATGGGTGACAGGCAGATAAGTAGATAACCGATGAATAGATTGATGACAGATGCATGGATGGATAAGGCTTGGCGGTAGATAAATAGATGAATAAGTGAATCAATAGCCAGATGAACAGAAATTGATCAATACGCCACAGAGAAGACGAACAGCTTCCAAATGCTGACTCACTCTTCCAGTGCTAGGAAAATAACTGAGCAAGCTTTATTCAACAGTTTGATATTTTCCAAATAAGTGTATTCTTTTAGCGTCTTGTACTAATAGGCTCTATGAGGTAACTGAAAGATGTTCTTGGAAAACAAGTGCTATAAACAAATTACACAGATTTCCAAGCTTTTCTGTTGCATGGGACTTTCTTGTGGCCAAAGAAATTTTTTGGGTCTGGCTTGGTAGCCTAGTGGCTGAACACCTCACTTGCATCCTCCAGGATCTCCTATGGGTGCCAGTTCGTGTCCTGGCGGTCCTGCTTCCCGTTCAGCTCCCTGCTTGCGGCCTGGGAAAGCAGTTGAGGATGGCGCAAGGCTTTGGAACCCTGCACCTGTGTGGGAGACCTGGAAGAAGCTCCTGGCTCCTGGCTTCAGATGGGCTCAGCTCCAGCCAGTGTGGCCACTTGGGGAGTGAATCATTGGGCGGAAGATCTTCCTCTCTGTCTCTCCTCCTCTCTGTATATCTGACTTTCCAAAGAAAAACAAATCTTTAAAATATATTTTTATATAATAAATGAATGAATGAATAAATAAATAAATAAAGTGGCTGAAATGGCCAGCTGATTTTTTTTACCCCAGGTGTTGTGGCTAAGGAGTTGATTAGCACTCATAGCCTGGGCAGGAACAGGCACAGGGCTTGTGGCTAAAAACACCTAGACTAATTGGACTCATCTTTATCCAATCTCCTGCTAAATGAGGATCTAGTGGGGAGAGTATAGAAGAAGAGGTGAAGGAGAAATAAAGAGACTTAGCCGAGACTTCTACCATCGCTGGTCTCCTGTCGGTGCTTCATCCCCAGACCCTCTGCCTGTCCGCGTGCTGGCCGGAGCACCCAGGGTACGAGCTTGTAGCAAATTGGCTTGGGATTCAAACCGCAACATCTGGTTTCATCAGCATGTACTGGCTTGTGTGTGTGTGAACAGGGGGGTGCCCTCCTTCTGTTTCCCTAAGAGTAAGTAGCAAGATTGAGCGTTCATGGCTTTTGAGCTCCCAAAACCTCAGCAGGTGCAAAGAAAGTTGGCCACTGGGGTGCCGGTGCACCAAAAACCGTTTGCTATTTATGGCTTCAGCAGCCAAGCAGCCCAGACTTGGGCATCGTGAGCTCAGGGCCTCAGCTGTGAGCGGAGCACGCCTGGCTCCACAAGGGGTCAGACACAGAACAGCAGCTGCGACAAAATCAGAGACTGGAGCCCTGCATCTGGTTTGGAGTGTGGCCATTCCGATGCCCTCTTCCTTTCTGCCATAGTGCTTGGGCCCATGCACCCATGCGGGAGACCTAGACGAAGCTCCAGGGTCCTGGCTTTGGCCCGATGCAGCCATTTTAGCCATTTAGGGAGTGAACCAGAATATGGAAGATTCTCTATCTCTCTCTCTCTCTCCCTCTCTCTCTCTCTTTGCTGTTTGTACACATTTAAAAAAAAAAAAAAAAGCTTGTTTTGCTAGCCACTGGCTGCATGTGGATGATAAATCTAAAATAATTTTAGCTTTCAGAATTTTTAGAATTTCAGTTCCTTGGGCCCAGCACGGTGGCTCAGTGGCTAAATTCTCACCTTGCATGCGCCAGGATCCCATCTAGGCATCAGTTCATATCCCGGCAGCTCCACGTCCCATCCAGCTCCCTGCCTGTGGCCTGGGAAAGCAGTGGAGGATGGCCCAAAGCCTTGGGACCCTGCACCCGCGTGGGAGACCCAGAAGAGGCTCCCTGGCTTTGGATAGGCTCAGTTCTGACTATAGTGGCCATTTAGGGGAGTGAACCAGGGATGGAAGACTTTTCCTTCTCTCTAAAACCTATCTTTCAATTGAGAATATATATTTTTTAAACATGAAGAAACAGCAGCTGTCCCATCAGGGCCCTCCATGTCAGCACATGTTTGCTGGTTCAGTAAGTTCATGGCACAGGAGCTGAGTCCTTGACAACCAAGGCAGGAAGGGTGGATGAGGCCACTGGATGGAAGTCCAACTTCCCAGCCCAGCCCTGGCCGCTGTAGGTATCTGGGGACTGAGCCAGCAGGTGGAAGTTCTCTCTTGTGAATCATTGATTTTTATGTTAATGAGCTACGTTCACATTTTCTCTGGTGGTGTGGTTGGAGTGTGGGCTCCCAGCTTCTGGGGGACAGCCGTGCCAGAAGCCAAGGTTTGGTGGCAGGTGTTTGGTTTATTGAAAGGATCTTGGGATGGGTGAGCTACACCTGCCGTGGAAAGGGGCAGGACCCCCTTCTCTCTTGTTTCCTGTGCCCACTCTCTCCCTCCCCACCTTCACCACCACCAGGCCCAGTCGCTCAGGTCGAGACTGCCAGCTGCCAGGACCAAGAGCCCCGATGAACGTCTAGGGTGGCCCACAATGGCGACAGAAGACAGATCAAGACACTCGTTTATTGCACATATGTGACCTCCAGGCCTCGCAGTCACCCCCATGGCCTTGGTCCACTTGGACTACAGAAAACGCAGGCTTAAGGGCCCAACGTCCACCTCCGGTGCCCTCCTTGTGCCAAACGGAGCAAGAAAAGGGGGGTAGCCAAGGAACAGCTCGCTTGCTCCATTTCCAACCGTGGAATGTGTGCGTTTGAAGGTGAATTCCGAGGGCTTGAGGCACTCACACCCCACCCATGCCAGGGAAAAGACGGGGAGCCAGAGGAACATAGCCTCCGAGCCCTGAAACAGACAGTCCTGCATGAATGCATGTGCTGGCCTGAAACCATAGCACAGCATACTGACCCTGGAGGGTCAGAGGCTCCAGGGCAAACCTCAGGTCCTGAACACCAGGTACCACATCCACCCAGCTGGGTCCCCAAGGGCTGTGCACACCCCATGAGCCCTGCACCCACGATTTGTTTTTTCTTCTGCTGATTGCCATCTGGACCCCCGCACGGAACAAACTAGCAGCGCGAGCACAATGTTGTTTTGTTGTGGTTTTGGTCGGAGCGCTGAGCCTCTCTCTGGCCTTCCCCAGGCCATCCAACACCCGCAACAGGTGTTCATGGACGATGCCCACCAGCGGCCGGGGCTTAGGGCGGGTTTTCTGCATCCATTTGTGGTTGGACCGCAAGAGCCAAAGGAAGCTTCCACCATGATGCCCCAACCCCACCTCCTGCAGGTGCTGGGCAGGCGCTCCGAGAGTCAAGCTTTCGCTCCTTGCTCCTCTGCGTTGAACAGGCAGGATGTAGGATGTGTGTGTGTGTGTGTGTGTGTGTGTGTGTGTGTGTGTGTGTGTTCGTGTTCAGCCCACGGCTGTGTGTTCCCCTCCCCTGCTCCCCACGCTCCTCCTCATCCTCCTCCAGTGGCCCACCGCACCCCCAGGCTCACATAGCGCTCTCATTACCACCCCGGCCCCTGGATGCCCCCTTCTCGTGCGCCATGAGGGATTTGTAGGGCTTTCCCAGGCTGGGGAGGGTCAGTTCCGCCTCCTGCAGGTCGAGCTCCCGTTGCGACAGATGCTCTATGACCGCAGCACCGATCGAGTCTCCCAGCACGTTGGTCATGGTACGAAGCCGGTCCCTGGCGGACGACAGAGGGAGAGCCGCCATCAGAGGGAACCATCAGGTACCCTCCCTCCATCTCTGCTCTCCCTGACTCTCTGATCTTAACTCTGGGCTCCTCCCTAAGCCAGGGGTCGGGAGCTGAAAGGTTTACGGAACCGGGAAGGAAGGGGCCTGGGTCCTCTCGCAGCTCCCTGTTCATGTGCACCTGGAAGGCAGAGCAGGTGAAGGGCCAAGACTCAGGAACCTGAGACCCACCCTGAGTGACCCGGATCGGGTCGCTGGTCCAGCCCTGGCTTGTGATGGGCATTTGGGGGTGTCAAATACAGTGAAAGCAAATAGATACTTAACATTTTAAAAGAAGGATTCGGGGGGCGGGGGGATCCAGCGCAATGGCTCAGGGCTAAACCCTTGCTTTGAAATCACCGGGATTCCATACGGGCACGGGTTCATGTCCCGGCAGCTCCACTTCCCATCCAGCTCCCTGCCTGTGGCCCGGGAAAGCACTGGAGGACGGCCCAGAGCCTCGGGACCCTGCACCTGCGTGGGAGACCCGGGAGAAGCTCCTGGCTCCATGCAGCCATTGGGGGAGGGGGTGGCAGGGGCAGTAAATGGACAATCTCTCTCTCTCCCTCTCTGTAACTCTCTCTCTCTCTCTCTCTCTCTCTCTACCTCCCTCATCCTCTCTTTCAGTACCTCTTTCAAACAGATAAAGCTTCTTTAAATAAAACAAAAAGCTTCAGACGTGAAATTCTAGAACTCTCCACTGGAATGAGCGCCCACAGGGCTAGGCGAGGAAGGGCACAGGAGGGGGCACTCACAGGAACCAGTCCACAGCAATGATCAGCGTAATGTCTTCCGTGGGCAAGCCGACAGACGTCAGGACGATCACCATGGTGACCAGACCCGCCTGGGGAATGCCAGCAGCCCCAACGCTGGCCGCGGTGGCGGTGATACTGCACCACACACACACACACACACACACACACACACACACACACACGGACAAGGGGGGACAGAGACCAGGAGACACAGAAGAAGAAGGGACCGTCAGTCTGCCCAGGGCACTGCCAATTTAACTTCTGCACCTGCTCAGGGAAGGAATCCAAAAAAAGTCAGCAACTCAGAGAAGTGATGCTTGCCAGGACGAGGTTAGAGTCTAAAGAGGAGATGGCGGGTTACAAAGTTGCAAGTTCAAGGCTGGCGGGTTACAAAGTTGCAAGTTCAAGGCTGGTTAGATCTTGAGGAAGAGACAAGCCCCAGGGTAACAAAGTTGCCAAGTTTTAGAGACTGTATCTATGGAGGGATTCCAAATCCAAGGGATACTAGGTGAGAATCGTTCCAAAGGAGGAGATGGCAGGTGTCAAAAATAGTTACAAGAGAGAGAGGAAGGTGGCGAATGGGTGGTGTGTGGCTTGACCTGTCTCAATCATTTCCTCTTACATGCGTGTTTGTGAAAACCTCGTGATGCATACCTTGAATGGACACCATAAAAGGGATCCTAAATACCCAGCGTGGGGTCCCAGTCACAGGAGCACATGCCAGTCCCCAGAGGAGGGGGCGGCAAGCAAACCTAAATATATAGCTAGGTCCAGGTGCTGGGGAAGGACTTCCGGAAGGTGGGCCAAGTTCAGAGTCAAAAGAATCAATGTTCACAGCGCTGAATGGATGAAAAAAAAAAAAAAACCCGAATGCAGGTCCTGACCTAGCAGGAAACCATTTGGGGTTCAGTCCCAGCTCTCTGCTAAGGCTCATTTAAAGCTATGACTGCCATACCAGCACCACACACAGGGGGAGTCGCGTCTGGGTCGTTTCTGATTGAGTCCCCTATTAATGCGCCAGGGAAGGCAGTTGAGGATGGCCCAAGGGCTTGGACCCCCTGGTACCCATGTGGTAGACATAGGCAGATGGAGATGCAGTTTCCTAGCTTCAGCCTGGCCCAGCATGATGGCTCAGTGGCTCAACTCCCTCCCCCTGGCACGTGCCAGGAGAACATATGGGTGCCCGTTCGTGTCCTGACTGCTCCATTTCCCATTCAACTTCCTGCTTGTGGCTTAGGAAAGCAGTGGAGGACGGCCCGAAGCCTTGGGCCCCTGCATCCACATGGGAGACCCAGATGGAATTCCTGAGTCTAGATTTCAGCTCCACCAAGCCAGGCCATTGTACATTGAAAACATATTGAATTGTAACCGGGGAAATGCATTGAATCCATTCGAACTTAACAACGCTGGACGCCAGTAGCGTCCACCCTAACTAGAAGCTGCCGCTGTCACTGTTGCCTAGTCTGACCACGCAGGATCACGCCTTACACTGCCAGGAAAGGCCTCTCATTGTACGTGTGTGGTTGTTTCCACGCAACACTGAGTGCTTGGGCCCCGTCATCAAGTCAGAAAATCCCACGCTAAACTATGCTGAGTCAGAATCCATCTGCCATAGAAATTCTCCAATGTAGGGGGGAAAAATATCCCTGCACAAATAAAACTTAGTGAGAATTTCAGCAAGAGAAGCAAGCAATCAGCCGGAGGCAGGCCTGGTGGGGGTTGTTGGGAGTCGCTCCAACTAGGCTGCTGTTCCCACAAAGCGTATAGTGGTCAGGGTTAGGCTGGGCTGCAGCATCCATTGATTTGCACATGAGATGGGGCTGACCAGGTAACTGCAACTACCAGTACGTGTGTGTGTGTGTGTGTGTGTGTATGTGTGTGTAAGTCGATGTGGTAGGTGGACTGAGCTGGACCCACACTGGCTGGCACACACAGGAGTTAGCTTGGGGTCACCTCTGGTGAGATTACTTTGGGGGCTCCCCTCCCACTGGACTCACACTCCAACCACAGTGAAAATCATAGAATCTGTGGTCTGACTGTGGAGTGCATATGTCAGCACTGGGCCTCCTCAGTGGCTCAGGCCTCTGCAGTGGACTCACGGCCAGATGCCCATGGAGGACCTGACAAACAGTTTACTGAGACCTGCTGAGGATGTCTAGTACCATAGAGGGGCACAACAAATTGGCCAGCTCCCCTGGACAAGTATCTGGGTGAGTGGAGACTCTAAGGTGGACTACGTCAGCCAACGGACCTTGGAAGGATTTTCTCAAGCTTGGAGCAATGAGATCCACAGCATCTCAGAACCATCTACATCATTTGAGCAGTATCCTTGGAACATGCTCCACAGTGGGGACCCTGGGATGACAGCGGGGACCTTGGGGTGACAGCGGGGACCCTGGGGTGACAGCGGGGACCCTGGGGTGACAGTGGGGTCCCTGGGGTGACAACAGGGACCCTAGGGTGACAGCGGGGACTCTGGGGTGACAACAGGGACCCTGGAGTGACAGCGGGGAACCTGGAGTGACAGCGGGGACCCTGGGGTGACAGCAGAGTCCCTGGGGTGACAGTGGGGACCCTGGGGTGACAGCGGGTGGCCGTCTCCCATCTCCAGGTACTAATGCGGTTGGGTTGCAGGAAGTGACCCTCTCCCCTGCTCTCCCCAAGAATAAAAGAGGATATTGGAGGCAGTCGTCTCATCCACTTTCTTCCACTCCTCAAACCCGAACCCCACAATTGTTGGTCTACATGGGCATGCATCCCTGTCAACTATGAAAACATCATCAAAAGCAAAATGATGTTTATTATATATATATATAAAAGCTGGTGTTATCTTTAGGACCAGCACGGTGGCATAATACACTAATCCTGCACTTGGAGTACCAGTATCCCATACGGGTGTCGGTTCAAGTCCCAGCTGCTCCACTTCCCATCCACCTCCCTGCTTGTGGTCTGGGAGAGCGGCGGAGGACAGCCCAAAGCCTTGGGACCCTGCACTCACATGGGAGACCCAGAAAAGGCTCCTGGTTTTCCCCAACTTTAGCTCAACTTTGGCCATTGTGGCCATTCTGGGTAGTGAACCAGCAAATGAAAGAATTCTCTCTCCTTCTCTCTGTAAAATCTGCCCTTCCAATAAAAACAAATAATTCTTTAAAATAATAATAATAAAAAAAAAAGCTTACTACACAGTCACTGAATTTCACGTCCCACCTGAGGTTACCTTGGCAGATCCAAACCAAATGAAACCCACACCTTCCCCTGCCTCATGTGAAATACTTAGGAGTGGAAGGGTTGTGCGTAGGGTGTGTTTTTTGATATTCAAATATCTGCAAAGCACAGAAAGATACACCTTAGGCGAGATGGGACTGAAACTCTCTTATGTCTCACACAGGCTTCCCCATGTCCGTGTGCATAAGACCAAGTTTGGGTGGAATTCCCCATGGGTGGTGTGGAGTCGAGGTTCAACAGGTGTCCGATTCGGCGGGGGGGGCGGGGGTGACTCTTTAGACATGGGAGTTAGGGCAGCTGCACCTGCAGCTACTGGGACTTTTGGACAACACTTAGGAGACACGGGCCCAGGAATGTGCATTCACCGTCGAACCTGGAGTTATCACGATGCACCAGCCATGCTTTGAAAAATTCAATGAAGGAATCCCCCCGCCCCCCGCCCAGCGTGTCTCACCACTGTCAACAGCATCAGGTGACAAAGTCAGCCCCGGGTCCCCACAGCAGGCTCCTCTCACATCCCGGGTAGCTTGGCTCCCTCATCCCTCCTCCACCATGACCTCACCTGTCGGGCAGGTGACACCTCACCTGATGGTGGTAATCTGGCCCAGGTTGAGCTCGTAGTTGTTGACCTGAGCAATGAAGATGGCGGCCAGGGCCTCGTAGAGGGCAGTACCATCCATGTTAACGGTGGCCCCCACGGGCAGCACGAACCTGGTGATGCGACGGTCCACACCCAGGCCCTCCTCCAGGCAGCGGAAGGTAATGGGCAGGGTCGCAGAGCTGTTGGGTAGAGAGAAAGAGAGGACAGGTGCAGAGCTGGACCAGGGCAGCCAAAGGAGGGCTCCTCTTGAGCACACCGAGGTGTAAGCCGGAGTCTGAGAAAGGCGCACATGTACTCCTGGTACTGCAGATAGAACACAGCAACTGGAGTCCCCACTGTGGCAGGGCTCCTGGCTCACTTAGAGCCAACAGCTTCAGGCCAACGACACACGGTGGTGTGTGCTGCTCATTTGCTCCCATCAGCCACTCCCAAGCAGGGCCTGATGCTCTCTACAGCCCTACCCTACTAATGTGCCTGAAAAAAAGCATCAGATGATACCCAAATAATTGGGTCTCTGCCACCTGCACTGGGGATCCAGATGGAGTCCCTGGCTCCTGGCTTCAGCCCTGCAGCCTGGCCCATGCTGGCTGCTGCGGGCATCTGAAGAATGAACCAACAGATGGAAGTATCTACTGCCACCCGTCTCTACCTCACCCTGCCTTGCAAATACATAAAGGTATACATCTTTCATCAGTCAATACATCTTTTGTAAAGTTATATTTTTGTTCAACCGTTTAGCCCTTGGGACGTTTTCTCAACTAATTTTGTATTTAGCTGCTGAGATAGGGAAAAGGAGGGTTTTTTTTTAATCTCCCCCCCCCACACAAAGCACACCCACTTAAAAAAAAAGGGGGCGGGGGGGGTACAGAATCCAAGTGCATGTCCAGGGACAGCTTCCAGGGTGGAGGAGACCTCGTGAGCCAAAAGATGTCCCAGTGCACGGGGCATCCTGGAACCATCTTGACCTTGGAATTGGCACCTGTCTGCAGCTAGCAGGGTCCAGCCAGGTGTCGAGCCAGAAGGTGGAGGCAGGGAGGGCGGGACTTCCAGAAGAGCCCACGGGACCTGCAGCATGGACCTAGGGAGGATGGGAGGTGAGGCCATACCTGGACGACGTGCCCATGGCAGTGATGAGGGCCTGCAGGACACCACCGATGAAGGGAAAAGGGTTCCGGTGGGTGACAAGAAAGTAGATGAGGGGCAAGACGCCACCAGCGTGCAGGAGCAAGCCCACGATGACGGTCAGCGTGTACATGCCCAGCTGGCCCCCGAGCACAGCCATGTCTTCCATTTCCAGAATCTTCCCGGCAATCAGGAAGAGGATGCCCACCGGTGCGTACCTGGGAGGAGCCGTGCACCTGTTAGGGTTCCCTTCAAGATCTCCCCCCACCCCTCCCGGCTGCAAGTCAAGAGCTGACATCTCTCCCCCAAAGTGTTATCCATGTTAGGGAGACCCTGGCGTCAAGCAGGACCCGTCAGGCAGGACCTCACTCCGCCCCAAATCTCTCTCCGTACACTCGTAAGCAGGCCTGCACCCACGCATACACCCACGCATCTGTCCTGCTTCCTCCTCGCCGCTCACCACAGCTCACTCTCACGGCAGACACATCCCCAACAGCTCCAAGGCATACCAACTTCATCATCCCACTCGCCCCTCCAAGCCTTGTCTGTTCCATGACTATACTCAGACATGAACTGTCTGACAAAAAGGTTGACATCCAAAGAAGCAAAGAACACAATTGGGGTTACCAGGGACTGGGAGGGCTTGGGAGAGAGATACTGGCCAACGGATGTAATAGTTCTGATAACATTTAGTCTATTTCAAGATCTCTAGGCAGGTACCAAGAATTGCCACTGCAGAAAATGAAGATGTTGGCCACACCGGTGTTCGTTAGCCCAGCTTAGCCATTCTACGATGCAGAAGTATTTTGCAAACCTCACATGATATGCTTATCGGATACGGTTATAACATGGATGTGACTTTATCAAATGGTGATGATATCAACACCTTTGTCTTTCAACAGAAATACACACGTTGAAATAAGAAAAATCCAGTAATTCATGGAAGAGTGAGTGAAACACAAAGATATAAAACAACGGGTAGGGATTATTGGCACTGTGCTAAAAGTGTGCTTGGGTTCACGCCCCCACACGGAAGACCCAAGAGAAGCTCCTGGCTTTGTTCTGGCCAAACCATAGCAGTTGCCTCATCTGCGCAGAGCACCAGCAGGTAAAGATCTCTTTTGTGGAAGATGTCTGTCTCTCCTCTCTCTCTCTTTCCACTTTTCCCTACTTCCTTCTTGGTAACTATTTCAAATAAATAAGTGTTTAAAAAAAATAGAGGGGGCTGGCACTGGAGCATAGTGGCTAAAGTCCTCGCCTTGCAACAACCAGGCTTCTGTGTGGGCACCAGATTGTGTCCCAGCTGCTCCACTTTCCTTCCAGCTCCCTGCCTGTGGCCTGGGAGAGCAGTTGAGGATGGCCCAAAGTTTTGGGACCCTGCACCTGCATGCATGGGAGACCCCAAGGAGACTTCTGGGCTCCTGGTTTTGGATTGACTCAACTCCAGCTGTTGCAGCCCCCTGGGGAGTGGACTGGCAGAGGGAAGATCTTTCTCTCTGTCTCTCCTTCTGTCTGTAAATCTGACTTTCCAATATTAATTGATAATTTTTTTTTTAAAGTGGCTGGGCCAGTGTTGGGTATCATCGGGTAAAGCCACCACCTGCAATGCTAATATTCCATATGAGCATCAGTTCGTGCCCTGGTGGCTCCACATCCAACCCAGCTCTCTGCCAACGGCTCTGGGAAAGGCAGCAAACACGATTCAAGTGTCTGGGCCCCCGCTACCCACTTGGAAGACCTGGCTAGATGGAGCTCCTTTCTGTGTAGCTTCATCCTGGCATCGTTCTGGCCATTGCAGCCATCTGGGAAGAAGGCAGGCAACCAGCGAATGGCAGACTTCTCTGTGTCTCTCCCATCCCCTCTCTGTAGGTCTGAGTTTTGAATAAATAAATACATCTTCAGCAAAAGCAGTGGAAGAATGAATGAACGAACAGGTGGGTGACAGAGGCACCGAGAGAATACAGCACGGCAGAGACGTGTGAAGATATGAATAAGCAAGTGGGTTGGTAGGCGAATTAATCAATGCCTCAAGGTACAGACAGATGGATGAAAAAGCAAGTTAACTGACTCTTGGACAGACTGCCCAGATGGGTTCATGGACAGCTGGGTCAATATATCAAAGAATAAACCAGTGAACTGACCACTGCCAGATGACATGAATGAGCCGGTGACTTTTAAGCCAACCAACACACTCAAGGATGGCCTTGGCCGGACATCTCCCAAGAAGCTATTCAGCCAAATCTTTCTCCACCCTCCCCACGGGTACACAACTTACCCTCGCCCCCCCAGAACTTACCAAATGATGATGCCCACCAGCCTCATAACAGCCTCGTTGAGGCTGTCGAAGAAATCTCTCAGGACGCGACCCTTGTGTTTCATGCCCCCGATGACCAATCCGAAGGCCACCGAGAAGACCACGAGGCCCAGGGCGTTGATGCCATTGGCGGAGCCAGGCACGGGCACTGTCTCCTCAAAGCTCAACACCTCTTGCAGTGAGCCCAAGGCCCTGGTGATATTCTCCAGGAAGCCAGTTCCATTCTCCCCCGAGGATGGCGAAGGCATGGAGGTGCCCAGCTCAGAACCGTTGTCCGTCCTCACCACAGTCCTGGTGACCACCCTGGTACTGTACTGCGTCTTGAACTGCAAGGTAAAGAAACTGGATTTGAGGTTACCAATTGCTGCTTCCCTCTCTCTCTGGGAAGTCTACTGGACCAAACCGAAGGGGTGAATGGATGATGTGGACAACGCATGGGGGAAGGAGTGAATGGATTGTTGTAACCATTAGGGCTAACGGGATGGAGGTGCCTTGGCATATGAAAAGATGAAATCTATAAGATGAAAATGAAAAGGGTCGCTGTTGCCGCTTTGACTATAGTCAGCTGCTACTTCCAGTGCCAGTGTCACATGAGCACTGGTTCAAGGACATCTGATCCAGCTCCTTGATCATGCTCCTGGGAAGGTACCAGATGATGATATAAGTTCTTGGGCCCCATGTCATTCATGTGGGAGACTTCAGGCTCCCAGCTTTGGCCAGGCCCAGCAGTCATTTGGACAATGAATCAGTAAATGGAAGATTTCCCTCTCTTTTTCTGTAATTTTGCCTTTCCAATAAATGCACACACACACACACACACACACACACACACACACACACACACACACACATATATTTAAGTTAAATGCAAAGCAACCTATGAGCTAGTGTCCCATTGAGTACATGCCCAAAGGAAATGAAATCTGTGTTCTAAACAGAGGTTTGCATGCCCATGCACACTGCAGTAGCCAACACACAGAAACAACGCAAAAAATCCATCGACGGCATCCGGCACGGTAGCCTAGTGACTAATGTCCTCGCCTTGCAAACGCTAGGATCCCATATGGGTTCAGGTTCATATCCCGGCAGCTCCACTTCCCATCCAGTTTCCTGCCTGTAGCCTGGGAAAGCAGTGCAGGACGACCCAAAGTCTCGGGACCCTGCACCCGCGTGGGAGACCTGGAGGAAGTTCCTGACCCCAGTTTGGCTCAGCTCAGCTCCGGCCATTACAGTCACTTGGGAAGTGAACCAGTGGATAGAAGATCTTCCTTTCTGTCTCTCCTTCTCTCTGTAAATATAACTTTCCAATAAAAAATATAAATAAATATTTTTTTAAATCCATGTGATAAGGAGTTCATCAACGGATGGAAGGATAAACAAGACGTGGTCCATGGAAAATGCTACACAGACTGCTACTCGGAAACCAGAAGGAGATCCTATCATTTCCAACAACTGGGTAATCCTAAGGGATGCTGCGTTAGTGCAATCAGCCAGGCCCAGAAGGACAACAACTGTCTGATCGCACCGATGCGGGAACCCAACCACAGGATGAAGGAGCAAACGGTGGTTGCCAGGGGGTGGGGTAGGTCGTGCCTGGTTGGGTGAGGTTGGGATGGGTGCAATCTGTAGTGCATCCCAACTGTGGTTACTAATGATGCTGAAAACCAGAGTCCTTGTGAGGTGTGTGGATTGGTGAGCTCGACTGGAGACCACGTCCACACTGGAATGCCCAGCTCCTGCTGCAGCACCTCTAATCCCAGCTCTCTGCACACCCTGGGTGGCAGCACCCAAGGAGCTGGGTTCCTGCCGCCCACATGGGGGACCCGGGTACAGCTCCCAGTTCCTGGTTTTGACCTGGCCCAATCCTGTTAGTCGCAGGCATTGGGGAAGTGAACCAGTGGATGGGAGATCTTTCATTCAAATAAAGAAAAGCTTTTCATTAAAATTTAATTAATGAATTAAACACGTGAATGGGGGGGGGTGACAACACAATACCCAAAAGGATGAATACAGATTCGGACACCCACAAGTCCCCTGCGCGACGCTCAACTTGAACTGGGTGGAAATGGGGCCTTCCCCTCAACCACATGCAGCGATCACAAGGCCTGGACTCTACTCAGGTCCAGGTCGCCTTTGGCCTGTGTCCTTCCCTGTAACCACAGACGAAGGAGAAACACACTGGTCCTCCCAGACTCCTTCAGGAGCCCCACCTCACTCCAGGCCCACTTCTCACCCTCTCTCCACCTTGGGCCATGCACTCAGCAGAAAACCACGCCCCAGCCCCCCAAGTCCCACAGTCAATAAGCCCCCACCCACCACAGCCAGAAAGCCCCACCCACAGCCCCAAAGCCCCACCCTCAGCCTCTAAGCTCCACCCACAGCATTCAAGCCACACCCACAGCCTCTTAGCAGCCCCCTGACCTGTTTGAAGCAGGCTTCCACCAGGTTGGGTGGGAACATGTTTCTGCAGAAAAATCACCAAAAGGAAGGCAAGAGGTTAGACCTAAAAAGAGAACTTGGGCCCCTTGTCAGTAGTGGCCATACTGACCGTAACCATGGCAACGCCTTACCGATGCTCAGCAAAGTGTCTCATCGACATTACCCAATGCAAAACCTAGCGGCAGTGGCGGTCATCCGGCAGAGCGGTTAAGCAATGACCCATGTTTGCAGGGCCTGGGTTCCAGTCCCAGCTCCAGTGCTAATTCCAGCATCCTGCTCCAACTTGGGGCTTGCTGTCCACCCACACAGAGTTGGCGAGAACAGCTAAGACCAACAAAAACTTGCCACTGCTCTCACACCAGCCATCACCCTCCACTGGAGCCTAGCAGCAAATACCTGCTCTTTGGACCACCACCACCCCATGGGGCTGCACCTCCGCCCACCCGAATGGATGTGTGTGACAGGGAAGAAGACAGGGGCCCATCAATGGCTGTCACAACCCCCCATCCCCAAGGAGAGACCCTCACCTGACCAGGTCCATGAAGGCATCGGCCGTGGGGATGGTCTCGATGCGGCCCTCGCGATGCAGCCCCTCCTTGGAGCCCTTCCCCGGGTGGATGATGGTTACCATGAGGATGCCGATGAAGACGGCGATGATGGTGGTGACCATGTAATACACAGCTGCCCGCATGCCCATCCTGCCCGTGGCCTTGTTGTCCAGCGAGGCCATCCCTGCGGGACGGGACAATAGCACAGTTCCCCCATGGCATCCCCTCCTCCCAGTGTATGTCTCTCCCACCCTCCATGGCCCACCAGCCCACCCCCATTTGCTCCCCAGGGTGGCCTGCATGCTCTGTTGCACCCCTAATCCCAAGCACAACTCCACCAGCCCTACCAGCTTCCCTCTTCCAACTCTCACCCCTCCGTGGACCCCGAACATCTTTTTCACTTGTTCACCCTTCACCCCCAGATGGCACCTCCCTCCAGTCCACCTCGACGCACACTCCCCTGTGTGAGCTTCTCCCAAACACGCCCCCTCCCGACAGACCTGGGTACCCACCCACCCTCAGCAGCATCTGCAGGTGTTGGCTGCTGGAAGCTAACAGTCAGCAGAAGCCAGGACCCGTGACTCAGGTCAGGAGCAGAACTGGAAAGAAAGGTCTAGGCTGTGCAACTCCTGAGCGTGCGAGCGCACGCGCACACACAGACGCACACAGAGCTACGTGTTCACATAAACACACATGCTTACAGAGACACACACACACACACAGACATACACACATAATAAACACATACACACTCACACATGCTCACACAGACACACAGCCTGAGTTAGCCTCTTCCTCCACCTGGTCCTGCTGCCTTCACATCCTCCCTTCTGGAGCCGTTCTCCCTCGTGCAAACCACCCCCAGGTCAGGCTCTGCTGCTAGGAAACCCAAGAAACCATCCTACTCAGGCTCCGATCCAGGCGATGGCGTGGGCCAAGTCCAAAACAACAGACACTCTGTGCTCCAACAGCAACTTGGCCACCACACCTGAGAACTCCATCTCTGGATGCCCTCTGGAGCCCAAGCTGGTGCATTTCTCAATAATTCTGCCATCTCCACCCATCCAACCTTGCACACCTGCCCTTGCCCTGTGCCCCAGCTGCCTCTGTCCCTCCTTCCCCCTCCAGGGGAAGCTGAGCCCGATACGAGTGGGGTTCATGAGCGCAACCGGGTCTGAGCAGGGGCTGGGCATGGCAGGAAAGCCATGGCTTCGGGTGTGCCTGGACCGTGCACAGCAACACCGTGGTTGTACATCCTCACCTGTGACCAGGCTGGAGATGATGAGCGGCAATACCAGCATCTGTAGCATCCTCATGAGCAGCTCTCCGGGGAACGAGAAATACTTGATCTGGCGGTAGGTGAGCTGGTACGGACGCAAGGCAAATGCCAGGCCCACCCCTGCAGCCAACGAGAGGGAGTCTGGGTCACTTGGTCGCCGAGGCAGGGCCCATCCATCTCGAGAAAGGGTGTTTGTAGGTGGAGGGCAGGCAGGCACTGGGATGTATGTGCGGGGGGGAAATGAGGTACACGTGTGCTGACCTGCTAACCTGTGTGTTAATGTGTGCACACGTGTGAGTGACCATGTGTTTGCTGGTACACACGGGCATCTGTGGTTCCACCTGTTATCCTTGCTTGAGTGTGTCTCCATCTGGGGCGGTAGTCATACACACAGCTGTATTCCAGCATGTGTGTGTCGGTGGGACACCTGTGCATTTTTCCGTTTGACTGACGTGCACCTGTAACTTCTGGGCGTGCACATGTATGGTGTGTGCGTACTGAATGCCCAAAGTTACTTCCAAAAGTATGAGGGAAGTGGGACTGCTACTGTGGCACAGCAGGTGAAGACACAGCCTGCAACACAAGCATCTTTTTAAAGAATTATTTCTTTTTAACGGCAAGGTAGATCAGATTTAAGAGAAGAGGAGAGACAGAGAGGAAGATCTTTCATCCACTGACTCACTCCCTAAGTGACCACAACAGCTGGTGCAGTGCCAATCCAAAGCCAGGAGCCAGCAGCTTCTTCCGGGTCTCCCACACGGGTGCAAGGTCCCAAGGCTTTGGGCCGTCCTCCACTGCTTTCCCAGGCCACAGGCAGGGAGCTGGATGGGAAGTGGAGCAGCCAGGACACAAACCAGTATCTATATGGGATCCCAGCACTTGCAAGATGAGGATTTAGTCACGGAGCCACTGTGCCGGGCCCAACACTGGCATCTTAAACAAGTGTCAGTTCAACAAGTTCCACTTCTGCTCCAGCTTTCTGCTAATGTGCCTTGGAAAGCAACGGACGTTGACCCAAGTGCTGGGGCCCTGCCACCCACGTGAGAGATCTGGAAGAAGCTCCTGGCTCCTGGCTCTTGCTATTGCAAGGCATCTTTGCCTCTCCTCCTCTCTCTGAAACGTTGCTTTTCAAATAAAGAAATTTTTAAACCTACGTGCCAAAAATCTGTAAAATACGGAGTTAACGGTGAAGCTGATGGGCAGGTGTTGGGTCAGCAGTTATGCCATGATTAGGACATCCATACACCACATCAGAGGATCCTAGTTCAAGACCTAGTCCTTGCTCCCGGTTTCCTCCTAATGTGGACCGGGCATGGCAATAAGGGGTATCTTAAGTAACTGAGGACCCCAATTAAGCTATGGGATCTGGAAGGCCGTGGGGACTGACCCAGTGGATGCAGTGTCTCTCTCTTCTCTCTCTCTCTCCTATCTGCCTTTCAAATAAATAAACCCTTACAAAGTAAGCATGAACTTCAACATCTTTGTATCAAATAAATCTATCCCTTCATCTCACACAGTGATTTTGCGCGTGCGCACGGGCGTGCCTTTGGGGAAGCCGCAGGTACAGGCGTCCGTGGAGGGGTGCAGGTACAGGCGCCCGTGGAGGGGTGCAGGCGCCCGTGGAGGGGTGCAGCCAGGCGCTTACCAATGATCACGGCGCTGATGGTTAGCAGGATGAAGGCATTCCGGCGCAGGAAGCGCAGCACGTGCTCGCGCGTCAGGGTCTGCAGCTGCAGGCGTGTGCGCAGCGCTCTCTGCCGCAGGCGCTCCCGCAGCCGCCCAAGCCAGCCCGCCCGACCCAGCCGGGGGCCGCTCTCCCGCAAGAACAAGCTGTTGCCATGGCTGCTCATCTTGTCCTCCGCAGGGTGGAGCCTGGACGATGGCCGCTGGTGGACGGTTCAGAGGCGGGCCTGGGAGCAGGGGTGAGGAAGGGGGCGTCAGGCTGGTGGGATGGCTGGACAAGGAAAACCACAAGACAAGACATGGTTGATATTCCAAGTCCTCAGTGAGGGCCGGGAGATGGGGAGCTCCCCCACAGAGCCTTAGCCAGGCACCTTAGGGGGCCAGGTCACCACAATAAATACCACCTGGTGGGGGGAGTCCTGGAAGGAGTTGCACAGGTGCCTGGCAACACAGAGGACTGGTGAGGCCCGGGGATGCAGGGCTCTGGTGAACAAGACTGAAGTCCAGCAGAGACTGGACAAGGGACATACGGACAACTGCCCCAGCCAAACGACGATAGCAAATACGGGAGCGAATGGAGACTACAACGTTAACTGTGTCAGCCAGTGGGACATCGGAAGGGATTCCTCACCCATACATCAGCGAGACTGACAGCATTTTGGAACCGTCGCATCCCCCTCGGAGCAGAACCCTTGGAGCATGCGCGCCGCGTGGGACCGTGGCTTGATAGCGGGTGGCCTTTCCCCACCCCCTGGTACTGGGATGGTGGGGAGACTGGCTGCGGCTTCCCCCCCTTATCTCTCCCCTCACCCGCGAGATGGGAAGAAGAAATAGGAAGCTTGGAAACAACGATCACACCCACTTCTCTTTAACCGTAGAACCTGCCCACCCTGATTGACTATGTCAAAAGCATCTCCAATCATTTTTTTTAAAGAAATGGAGTCCAGCGCCCTACTTCTGCACACCCCAAAAGCAGCAAATGAGGACTCGAGTCCATGCCCCTTCCCCCACCCCACTCCACCCACATGGGAAACCCACGGAGATGGAAAACCCAGCTCCTCCCTTCAGCCCGGCCCACCAGCACACCCCCGCGCACACACACTGTTGAAGCTCGTGCGGAGAGCTAGCCAGCAGACGGAAGCTCACACTCCGTGCCCTTCCAGCTAGATTTGGCTATTTACTTTTTTTCCGAAGCTTTGTCAGCAAGGGAGAGATTCTTCACTCTGCTGGTCCACTCCCCAAATGGCCACGACTGCCAAGGTTGGACCAGGCTGAAGGCAAGAGCCAGGAGCCCCTACTGGGTCCACCATGTGGGGAAGAGGCCCAAGAACTTTCCAGGGAACTGGATCAAAAGCAAACCAGCCAGGCCTGGCATGCTAGCCTTGTGGCTAAGATCTTCACCTTGTACACTTCGGGATCCCATAGGGGCACCGGTTCTAATCCCGGCAGCCCAGCTTCCCATCCAGCTCCCTGCTTGTGGCCTGGGAGGGTGGTTTGGGACCCTGCACCCACGTGGGAGACCCAGAAGAGGCTCCTGGCTCCTGGCCTCAGATCAGCTCACCTCTGGCCATTGCGGCCACTTGGGGAGTGAATCGATGGATAGAACATCTTCCTCTCTGTCTCGCCTCTTCTCTGTATATCTGTTCAAATGTGGAGGGCCACCACGGACAAGACAGTGGAGTTCTCATCTTCCGCCGGCAGCACGGGATGCAAGTGGTGTGAGCATCACGCGCCCCGGAGCCCACAACTTCACGTGCCACTACGATGCCATCACGGCACGCACAGCCCTACGAGGACACCGTCTCAGAAGTCTTCGGAGGTGCAAGGCTGGGTCTGCAACACCTCCTACACACACACACACACACACACACACACCATCACAGCGTACACATATCACACATAGACATGCATATCATGGGATGTTCAACCACACACCATCACACACACACACACACCCCTCTGCAGAAACGTGAAAGCCGGGTGTGCCCCATTAGTCACACACAGACACACACACACACACACGCGCGCACATCCTGGTGTGCTCAGCCACACGGACATCTTTGGGAGTGTAACTCCGTGCACGCTGTTTCAGTCGCACAATTTCAACCTTCACACCAGCACACATTTGTGCACGCCAGGAAAGCCACAACCACACACACTTACACACACACACACACACACACCTGTTCACAAATGCAATGTCAGGCATACATCAGTCACACAATTCCTACACACACACACACACACACACACCTGCTGGCACACAAAACTTGAGACATTTCAATTTCCACATTTCCACGCCGCCACACAGAAAGCTAGCCTCTAGCGCACAGACACCACCACCCACCCGCACACACCCCCACCCACGTGCGTGCACCCCTCATACCCAGAGTCCCCGGTGGCTCCTGGCCACACGCACTGCATGCGTAGGATGGACGCGGGGACAAGAGCGTGGGGATGAGGGTGTGAAAGGACCGCGGGCCGTCGGGAGGCTCAGGGCTGAGCACCGGGAACGCGCACAGCCACGCACAGAGAGCTGAGCCGGGGGAGCTCCGGAGAAGAGAGCGCCAACGACCCCAGGGGTCAGGCTGGAGCTGTGACAAAGGGCAGCGAGCTGACGGCCGCAGGGGCAGGGGAGACCCACCCTCCAGGGGAGACCCACCCTCCCTAACCCCAACGCGCGCTGGAGGAGCCTGGAGAGGTCCGTGCCAGAGTCCCTGCGCCCTGGCCGCGCTCTCCCCGACTCACCCGCCTCCGCAGCGGCGGTGCCAGGGCCCGGGGCGCAGCAGGAGCCGGAGCCCGGCGAAGCGGCCGGCTGGGGGCCCACGAGATCCGCCAGGAGCCGGTGCAGCAGCCAGCCAGGCCGGGGCGCAGAACCGGGACGCACTGTGCAGCCGAAGGGATCCGGGGTGGAGGGGTGGGGGGTGGGGGGTGGGGGGCCGGCCCTTCGCTCACGTGGGTTTGGGGGCCTGGAGCGGCCAAGGGTGGTGGGAAGGGGCGGGATCCCCTCCGGGATCCCCACCCCTCCGCCTCTCCCCCACCCAGCACCCAGATCAGGAACGGCAGCCGCGCGGGGGGAAGGGGCACACCCGCGTGTTGGCGGAAGGAGGGGGTGGCAGACGCGCCGTGGGGATGAGGGGGAGCGGCCGGGGTGCCTCCAGCCCCCGCCCCCTGCTCCGAGTCCCCGCCTCCCCGCAGCCGCCCTCCGAGGCTCCTGCATCCCCGGAGACAGGGCGGGTAGGGAGCGCGTGGGACCCGGCCCTGGCACTGCGGGGTTCCGCGCCCATGTCCTGGGCGGAGAGCTGGGGAAGGCACTGGGGCCGGGGAGGGGGCTGGTGTCCATCCAGGTGGACGCAGGCCCCAACGCGGGCTCCTCTGTCCTGCTTCTTCCCCCTTCCCCCACCGCACCCCATCCCTGCCACTAGGGGTGCGCACCTGTGGCCCCCTTTGGGCCAGCAGCCCCCGTCTCCCTTCTGTGAGCCTGGGGCTCATCCAAACCTGGGAGGTGACTTCGGACGACCTCGGAGAGAATTAAAGCTGTGCCAATTACAGTGCGGGAGCAAATGGGCTGCTCGAGTGGTAATTAATCCTCCTTTCCGCTGTCTTCAGGGTCCGCCTGGAAACGGCGACCTACATCTTGTGGCTGGAGCTGACTCGGTTGCTTCCATTCAACAGCTTGGGCCTCTCTCTCTCTCTCTCTCTCTCTCTCTCTCTCTCTCTCTCTCTCTCTCTCTCTCTCGCTGCTCAGAGCCCTCTTGGGTGGCGACCAGGGCCTCCAGCCTGGGAGTGATTTGCGCTAACCGATGGCCGCTGCCAGCTCCTGGATCAAGCCCATCTTTAACTTAGTGCGCACGCCCACCCCTTACGCTGTGATCATCACTACAGCTTCCAGGTACAGAGGAGCAGGTGCAACTCAGACAGGCCCAGGAACTTGGCCAAGCTCACACAGCACCCACCGCCCCCCCTCCCCCCCGGTAACACTTCCTGGCCAATGCTTCAGAAACCCATCAGCTTCTTGGGGTCCCAGAGCCTGGAGGATTGGAGCAAGTTCAGATACCCATCCATTGCTATGCCCTATGGCCCCGCTTCCCATCTAGCTCCCTACTGATGGCTTGGGAAAGCAGTGGAGGATGACCCAAGTGCTGGGGGCCCCTGTACACACCTAGGAGTCTGCAGAGAAAGTTCCTGGTTTTAGACACCCCGCAGTTCCCGCTTCTGCTGCCATCTGGGGAGGGAACCAGCATATGGGAGATCTCTCTCTCTCCTCTCTCAGCCTCTTAAAATAAATCAATGATTTATAAAGCAAATACACACCTAGTGGCTAAAGCCCTCCCATATAGGTGCTAGTTTCGCTTCCCTGGGAAAGCAGTCGAGGATGGCCCAAAGCCTTGGGACCCTGCGCCCGCATGGGAGACCCAGAAGAGGCTCCTGGCTCCTGGCTTCGGATCAGCTCAGCTACGACCGTTGTGGCCACTTGGGGAGTGAATCATTGGCCGGGCGATCTTCCTCTCTGTATATCTGACTTTCCAATAAAAATAAATATTTTTTAAAAAATAAAAGAAAGGAAGAAAGAAAAAAAAAAACACAATCCATATCTAATCAAGAAAAAAAAAAAAGTCGGGTAAATTCCATACAGCTGCATCCTACCAACTAGTATCAAAACAGCATCTGGCACAGACTAAGTGATATGTTCTTTAAATGTGTATTCTCCTCTGCTTGAAAAGAGTCACAGAGAGAGAAAGAAAGAAACATCTTCTATGGTCAAGTCGCCCCCTGTAACAGACAGGGCTGGGCCAGGTTAAAGCCAAGCCAGGAACTCCATCCGGGTCTCCCTCGTAGGCGGCAGGTGCTCAAACACTTAAAGGCATCACCTGCTACCTCCCAGGGACCAGGTCAGCCGGACCAAAAACAGAGTAGCTGGGAGTTGATCGAGCCCTCCAAACCCAGGGACTCTGCGGCCAGCGGCAGGGGCTCCGACAGCTTAGCACCAACACCTGCCCTTCCGACGTGTTTCCTGGAAGGCTGTGCATGTTACCTAAGTTTCATCCTGACATGAATTGTGGAGCTGTCGGTCCCCTGCCCGGCGTGGTGGCCTAACGGTTAAAGTCCTCACCTTGAACTCAACGGGATCCCTTATGGGCACCGGTTCTAATCCCAGATGCTCCACTTGCCATCCAGCTCCCTGCT